GAGGCGGGTGACGGGTGTCGGGTGGCGAGTTGTTGTACGCCAGTTGCATGGCTCATTGATTGTTTGCTTGGGCGCCAACAATGACGATGACGTCGCGCCTGGTGACACAGCAAATGTGCAAAACAATGATAAAATAAAAAAAAAAAAACATAAACAGGAAAGAATAGCTATATGCCAAATGCCGAATATGCAATACACTTACTTTCGAAAATAGTTAACAGTTAATAGTAATCTTTAATAAATAGTAAATAGATAATGTTGATGAGATATTGGAGTCTTATAAGTCTGGGAATCTTAGCTGCAGAAGTTTCCTTAAGATATCACGAAAAACAAAATTGAATTTTCGAATGGAGTCGTCAACTTGGTATCTATTTTATGTGACCATATATACTGACATACTGAAAGTCTTTTTCAATAGATATCTCGAAATACAGAAAACAATATACCCTTTTAAACCATTAACAAAGGGTTAAGGCTAGATTAGCTCAGCTCTTATCAGCTTTATGCCAAGGCGTTACATATTGCACGACCCAACTGGCATGCTCTAGATAGTGTATAAATTTACAAAAATACCAAGAAAGATATCATCGGCGGCGCCGCAACCCGCAAACCATTTGCCCCGCCTCTTTGTTTGCCAATTTTTATTTGCTCCACTTTGAGTTGTAATTCTTCTGGGCCTATTATGTAAGCCAAGCCAAGCCAAGCCAAGCCAAGCCGAGCCGAGCCGAGCCAAGCTGAGCTGATGCTGCTGCTGTTGTTGTTGTATCTGTGTATCTGTGTTACCTGGCGCGATTTATGATGGCACAGCCCATAAATGTTTGCCTTGACAATTTGAACTGTCAACCGGGTGCGAGCCAAAACGAACTGTGACGAATCACGCTCCAGCGCAGTGCAGGTGGGGCAGGTGTGCGGCAGAGGCTGGCCGTGCCCATCAATGCCGCCTCTCGTCAATATTTCATAATTCGCAGGCAGCACATTTATTGACTTGCTTGCGCATTTTGGAGGCTGTTGCACACGCACACACCTTCAATGGAGGTACACAAAACTTGCCACTGACCCACACAACAGGCGCACCACCAACACCAACAACAGCAACAACAGCAACAAATTGCGACAACTGCTGGGACTGCGACCAAGACTGAGGCAATGCCAACGCCAACGGCAACGGTTATAATAAAACAACAACAACAACAACAGCAACAACAAAAAAACACAACCCACAGACTAGTGGCACATTTTTGTCAACGTTTGAGGCGATTGAGCAAGCGGCGCTTACGTCGCTGCCAGCTGCAATGCCCCCATACCCCCGGCCCCATCGCCATCGCCATCTCCAGCGGCAGCAACACATTGCCCCATTGCCAGTCATTGTTCATGACATTCAAAACAAACTTCAAGTGGCCACAGCCACAGCCACAGCGCACGAGTACATTGCCTCTGAATTGGCATTAGGCGACGACGACGACGACGACGACGACGACGACGACGACGACGACGACGACGACGACGACGACGACGACGACGACGACGACGACGATGATCACGGTCATGGGACTCTGCGGCAGCCGCTGTGGAAGGCCATTGGAACATGTGCGAATTGTTGCCTGGTTTAGAAGTCAATGAATTCTTATAAATTTGAGCCAATTGTTCAGTGAACATGATTCTATAATAACAAACGAGCAAGTAGTGCTAACTTTGGCACGCCGACGATTTAATACCCTTGCAGACATTTCTTTCCTTTGAGCACAGACAATTTTGTCTTAGAAGATCCTGCCATGCCACCGATCTCTCCTATAGAGCAGCTATATTATATAGTGGGGCGATGTTCATAGAATAGGGGGCATAGTAAAACCTTTGAATGCCAAGTGTTCTGTGTGCAACACAAAGGGAAAGTTTCAGGACGAAAGCTTTTCCTCGGCGCAACTAGTTCGCATAGAAACAGACAGGCTTTGGATACTGATCTAAGATATATAATTTATGGGGTCGCAGATGTCTGCTTCTAAGCCTTATACGTTTCATGACTAAACTATAATACCCTCCGCAAGGGTATAGAAAGAATCTGATCGGGATTGCTAGATTTGCAGATATCCTGTACTTAGTGCAGCTGCACGCACACAATGCCTTATTTCCGATTGTTTTCCGATTTTTAGATTTAACTAAATAGCTATCTGTCTACATATCCAAAACGAAACTAGGGTATATTTTTGCTTGTTTTGAGTTTTTGCATGGAAAAGGGCATGTTAACTTAAGTATTCAGAAGGCAGTTAGTTAAACTTGAGGATACTTTTGAGAAAAGCGGCTGCTTTTATCGATAACTTATCGACGATTGCAGGTAAACCTTAACAGCGATTAATTCTGATGAACATAAAAAGCGCAAAATGTTTCAGATTCGTTAAATTCAGCTTTTATAGCCGCAAAGAGACGAATATGTTGACTATGCTGCTTTTGCTGATGCGGAATATATTAACTTTTCTTCTTCATGCATATCTGCACAACGAAATTATATATTTTTGTTTTTTTTTTTTTTTACCAATTTCGAATGACCTTAAAATGGTTTTTATGTCGAACTCGCGGCAGCTCCAATAAATGCGAATAAAACCAACGTTTGCCAAAATCATTAGCGCAGTCGACTGTGAATCGAATTGGCATATTGAAAGTGGGAGAAATAGTTGGACATGTTTAGTATTTGGCTATATCAATAATAAGACTGCTCTAGTCGGCAGTGCCCGACTAGGAGATACCCTGAACCGCCTTCCACCGCGCTCCTGCTCCTTAGTATTTGCCTTATATTATCTTGCCTCTGCCTGTTACATACAGATGCACAAAACCATTATGCCCTTTGAATGAGTTTAGGGTATATACAAAATGAAAAGATATTAAAAATCTGGAAAGTTTTTGATAAAACTTAAATACTGATACAAGCTTTAATGCTGCTGCAGCTGTCAGCATTTATTCATTTCAATGTAAAATGATGTCTGATATGATTATTTTGAACAATTGACACTTTTCCATTCCAACATTGATTCAATTATCGATTTAGATGATTCTCGCTTCTCGCCTCATCAATCAAGGCGCAGTCTTAAGTGTAGTCTCACAGCATTGCATTTCTTTGCCCTGGCTAAGAGCACTTAATTGAACCATCTTTCGTCAGAAATGTGGCCGCAAAGTCGCTCGCTTTGAGCTCGGACAAGGGCGATTAATGAGCGCACGGCTGGCTTTGCTTTTGCTTTGGAAATGGAATTCCAAATGTCACCCGCTGCTTAAATTGGCTAAGGTCACAGCTTCCGCTGGCGGGGCACAACGTGCAGTCTTTGTCTATTCATTGGCATTTTAATGAGCGGCCCGACTAACTAAAAAAAAAAAAATAAAAAATACAAAAAGTACAAATAATTATATAAAATGCTCACATTATGCAATTTCTTCAAGTGAATTCCGCATCGATACTTGTACTTTGGGCACGGAGTAAATGCAACAACAACAACAACAACAACAACAACAAAGTACACATTTACCTTTCACACCCATAAATATTATTTTTGTTGAATTAAGTGGTTGATCGCTCAATTGCATAAATTACGTTAGATTGTCTCTGTGTGTGTGTGTGTGTTTTTTTTTTTTTGTTTTATAATTTTTATTCCCTATTGCAATTAACTTGTCGCGGCGGGGAATTACTTAGCCCCAACATATTGATTTGTCATTGCAATTTTGCTTCCTTTAAAATTTCATGCGATTCATTGCAATTGCCTTAGTTTTATTTTTCAACTTAATTTGTTGTCAGTTTTTCAGAATTGGCGAGCTCTAAGAAGAAGAAAATGCATAAAAAATAGCTTAAAATAATAAATATAAAAAGCAACTGAAGCAAGTCTTGATCAAATTAGAGTCTGTAGACGTTAACAGCGCAATAAATTACCTTTATGCCATAGCCAGATGCCAGATTTCAATGAAAAAGTCTTCGACACGCCGAAGAGTTAATACCCTGGTAGACATAGAGAATATGCGAGAATAGTCAGGCTCGCAAATGATCTTGTTAAATTGAATGGCAGCTATTTGATAAAGTGCTGCGATGTTGATCATACGAAACATAATGTTGCTTGCCTGTTGATGCTGATCTAGAATATATATATTTTATATATTCGTCGATGTCTGCTTCTATGCGTTACACGTTTCATGACTTAAGTATAATAGCCTCTGCCAGGGTATAATAATGCAAATTGCTCTAGAATTTGTTTTAATAGATGTTTAAATAGACGTTGCTTTATGGTCTACTAAATTCCCTTTCACTTTTGTAGGCTATGCCACAGTATTATTACTTTTATTATTCTAAAAAAAAAAAGTACTCTGAAAAACAAATACACATTTACGTACTTAAATTGTTGTCTAGCGTTGTCAGACGTTGCCTGAGGTCGGGCAAGCTTAAAACAATGAAAACATGTATTTTTTTTCCTGTATCCCGGAATTCTTAATTTAAGCCTATTTTGAGCGTAATCAGCTTCATTTGAGCTAAATATGGCTTAGCCTTAAGGCAAAAATGGTATGGGATCAAGACAGGCAGGTATTGATTTAAGCGCAAAACAAGTCTGTTTACAAGTCCAAAACAAACTGCGTTTATCTTAATTACAGTTCGTTTTGACTTAATCCCAATTTAAGAAGTGGGGCATAAGCATGAGCTTGCTTTAAGTAAACTCGTGATTAAAGCTTTGGCTTACGGCTAAGACATGCAGACACCTGGCTGGGATTCACCTGCACAGACGACTGGTTTACTTTGGCACATTGCCCGGGGGAAGTTCTTAAACTGAATCTCAATTGAAAGTCAATTTGTGCATTTAACATTTGAAGTTGCGGTTGTATCTAAGGAATTGATTTGACGGAACAAAAACGCAGTAGTAAATGTCATAAATGTCGAAATGGAATTCCATTTTTTTCATTAACACATTAGAAACTAAATATTTTTTAAGACCATAAAAAAACACACAAATTTAACAATGTTTTAAATTAAATTGCAGCTTTTAATTTTGGAAGCCAAACAGCAACTGAAATAATAAACAACCGACAACAGGCATTTCTGCAACAACAACAACAACAACAACAACACCTGCAACTCCAGCAACAACAGCAACAACAGCAACAACAGCAACAACAGCAACACCTGCAACAACAGCAACAACATGGATGTACTCGTGCATGATGCGTTACATTGGTACAGAGACCTAATGGACAATAAAAGTGGTCAGTATTTGGGAATTGTTTCTAAGAGTTTCAAATTGATCAAACTTAATTTGTTTATTCGTTTTTTTTTTTTTTTTTTGTCGTGATAGATCCGCGTGTCAAGAACTTCTTTCTGCTGTCATCGCCGCTGCCCACACTTGGCTTGTGCATATTTTATGCGTACTTTAGCAAATCCCTTGGGCCCCGGCTGATGGCCAATCGCAAGCCCATGGATCTCCGCAAGGTGCTGGTCTACTATAATGCAATACAGACCATATTCAGCGCGTGGATTTTTTATGAGGTAAATGATTCTGTTGTTATATTCAATTAGTTGAATGCATTTAAAAGCTGCTTATCTTTTATTCATCAGTACTTAATGAGCGGCTGGTGGGGTCATTATAGCTTCAAGTGTCAGCCCGTCGACTACAGCAACAGTCCCATGGCCATGCGGGTAGGTTACTGGCGAACTGTTCCATAAATTCAATCGTTTGTTAAATAACTTTTGCTCTTGCTATGTAGATGGTCAATATTTGCTGGTGGTACTACATATCAAAGTTTACGGAATTCTTTGACACGCTCTTCTTTATATTGCGCAAGAAGAACGAGCACGTTTCAACGCTGCATGTCATACACCATGGCTGCATGCCGTTCTCGGTGTGGATGGGCCTTAAGTTTGCACCGGGTACGTGGCCTTTGCTCCATATCAACTGTCACACATGTGTTTTATAATAAATATTCATTTGGTTATTTATCGCAGGTGGCCATAGCACTTTCTTTGCCCTGCTTAACTCGTTTGTGCATATTGTGATGTATTTCTATTATATGATTGCTGCCATGGGTCCAAAGTATCAGAAGTTTATCTGGTGGAAGAAATACCTAACCACCTTCCAAATGGTATAGGGTCACAGTTGACATAGCCTGGCAAACTGACTAACTGAATACTTTCCTGTTGCAGGTGCAATTTGTGGCCATATTTACGCATCAGTTCCAGCTGCTGTTCCGCGACTGCGATTACCCCAAGGGCTTTATGGTCTGGATTGGTCTGCATGGCGTGATGTTCCTATTTCTGTTCTCCGACTTCTACAAAGCCAAATACCTAAATGCGCAACGTCGTCGCCGTGAGGCCATCAAGGCCAATGGCCACCAATCCAACGGCGTTCACACGAACGGCAAAGTCAAGCATTTGGGCAGTGGCGATCCCCAGCTAACCAATGGCGGCCACAAGGGCGCCTGTATGGTAAGTTTTAACTGATATCAATTTGCAGGCGCAAAACCAAAACAAAAAAAAAAAAAAAAAAAAACAAGAAACATCAATAAACGCGTGGCGTAGGTAAGCAACATTAAATCAAGTAGCCCTTGAAAGTTATTAGCCGTGGCTAAGCACACAAATCGACGACGCCCGTTCCAAGTGCAGGGCCCCTCAGTGGAGCCAGGTGAGAGGAGTGCCAGTCTATGCGTGCTAGAGTTGGAAGCGTGTTGTCTTTTTTTTTTTTTCTCTGTGTGACATGATCACGCACGACGTGTTCGTATACAATTATTGTTGGAAGCCGAATACAATTTCGAAACATTCCCAAAGCACTAGCGAGTCCTTAGTTAAATAATATATGAATCATGTCTATTATATCACATCTAAATCAATTGCAGAAAAACTTCTTAAGCTCAATTTATTAGAATATTTTTGTTTTTCTTTTTATTAAAATCAGGCTAATAAATGTTGCTTTTATTGATTATTCAATCGATTATATTATCATTGTCAAACGTATACCAAGCAAGGTTCCGCGTCCTAAGATATTCCTTAACTTGCGTGTTTCTTAATTGCAATTCGCGTTTTAAATATCCGTTCTATTCCATCTCTAATGCTTACATGAACATACATGTGCGTAGTTGTTGTTGTTTTTTGATCAACTTAAAAATTCTAACTAGCTTAGTTAAACAAACAACACTCGCACACACGAGCGCAGCACCCGCAAACTCTCAACACTGTGCGGGGGACATTTCAATTAGCGTAAACATGTGAAGCCGGATGCGAAGGCCCAATCATATTGGCTGCTGGCCATTAGGAAGGCTGTGTGCCTTGCTTTGAACTTTAGCTGGAGGCCAGTTCCAAGGGGGTGTTGAGGCAGGAGAGAGCGGCAGACACGTGCTCGTCAAAAACGAATCTTACAGCATATTAATTTAATCTTTATTATCTACATACACTTGCAGCCCGTTTTGGAGGATGAATATGTGAATAGCAATGGGCATGTGAATGCCTATCAGGATGGTTACTTCAAGGAGGGCGTACTATCTAGCAATGATGCCATCCTGAATCCGGACAGCAGTAGCTCTAGTCTTCATCAGCGCAAAGTCAAATAACTACTACTAAGACGTACTACGATGATATTCATTATGTTTACTTTAAGTGTTTAGCAAGTAACTGAATTTTGATAGAGCAGATCGAAACAGGCTAACGGCAGAATAATAATGCATCCGTGCAATTATGACCATTGGCAAAAAGAAAACAAAACAAACAAAAAAAAAAAGGAAGCAACAAAAATCAGCAAACATCTAAAAAGCAAAATATTAAACCATTATTTGATTTTAGTAATTTATGATAAATACGATTGTAAAAGCAAGCCAGATGTTAGTGTATAATGTGAAGCCACATGCCTCCACATATATATATATATGTATATATATGTGTATGTGTATATGGGCAGACCAAGAACCAGAAGCAGAACCAGGGAAGCTCATTTCCCTCCACCAACAAGACCATCAGCACCACTGTAGCCGAAGCCGTCAGATAGATTAAGGAGAGGATAGCAGAAGAGAAACTGTTTTAAGAAAAAAATGTTTATATATATATATATATAGTGACATATCCATAGTCGCACCCACCCTTTAACATATCTTAGCACATAAGCATAAGCACAATTATAAACATTTCTAATATTGTAAACAAAGAGCCTGGTGATAACATCGACATTGGTCAAGATCAAACTGTCCCCCTTTGGTAGACATAAACAATTCACCCTAAATATCACGCCACTGTCAATGTTCCCATCAGAGTACTATCCCACGCATAATTGCTGACGCAGCTCAAACTTCACTCAATTTTGACTCAAACTCTCTCAAAGCGAAGTTTGCTAAGCGACCGCAACAGTTAGATAAATCAGTTCTTATTCGGGAAGCAAATCTGAATGTACTCAACAAAAGTAGCCGTTAAGTGAAAATAATAAATTGAAATATATTTTTTTATAGTAACCTAACGTGTAAAACTTAATTGGCGCAGCCGGTAGGATACGTCGGGAAAAATTAAAGATCGCTAAAGGATAATTAATTCCCAGATCTAACGCACAATCGCGACCGAAAGTGTTGTCGGAGTGTAATAAAAATTTTCTCGAATACGTATCCGCACAAGAACCTTCGGGTCATTAGTAGCTTAATAATATTGACCCTTTGGGCAATAAAGCTACTACAGTTAATAACGACTGGCTTTGCATATCGTTTGATCCCTGCAATACGTTATTACTGAGTCTTTTTAAGACACACACACAAAAAAAAAAAAAACATTTGCACAATAATCCATCACAAACTTTAACTTAAAATAAAAGTGCAAAATCAAAGAACAATAAAGTTCAAACCTACAAACTCAAAACTATTCAAAAAAAAGTGTATTACACCAAGATGACAATGGAATTATCAGAACAACACCTCAACCAGGCCCTTTCACAACTTAGACAGGTGCCAAGCTTTGACGGATCAACGGATCAACTAAACGCCTTCATTAAAAGGATAGATTACATCCTACACCTGTATCCAACCCGAGATGTTAGACAACATAGCATCTTATACGGAGCCATCGAATTGCAAGTCACAGGAGATGCTCAGAGAATATCACAAAGGACAGCAGCCAACACTTGGCAGGAGCTGAGAAACGCATTGATTGAAGAATACAAAGTGCAGACACCATTTGAAGAACTCCTTCGACGCTTATACAACACGAATTACCAAGGAAACGTCCGTAAGTTCATCGAGGAGCTCGAGAATAAATCTTTTGTTATTTTAAATAAGTTAGCACTAGAAAATATACCTAGCAATACAACCCTTTATACAAATGCTATGAATAACACAATCAAAGATGTTATTACAAAAAAATTACCAGATAGGCTTTTCATGATGTTAGCCAGACACGACATTACGTCGACACAAAAACTAAAGCAAGTAGCTCAAAGAGAGGGATTATATGAAAATAGCGTTACTGAAAAACCTAAAAATAATAATGTTCAGGGAAATCCAAATAACAATCGTAGGAACATGGGAAATTATCAGCAAAATGCTAACCCAACCACCATTTCAAGTGGTTATTCCAACACGAATCAGAGTTATCACGCACAAAATAAACAGCACAATAAGTCCGAAGACAATCAGAAAGCTCACCACGAGTTCCAACAGAAATTAAGTCAAGGTAGATACCAAAATCCCTTAAACTACCAAAATCAGTCCCATTCACGCTTGAATGCACCAAACCCTCCGACTAAACGTCAAAGAGATAGTAACAGTGGGCAGATGAAAATGGATACATCCGAAAATTTTCATCAGCAAGCCTCGGAACAAACAGAAGAAATCCATTCATAAAATTGATTATGAATGACGAAGTTCTAAAATGTGTCATCGACACAGGTTCAACCATAAATCTAATGAAAACAAACCGCTTAAATTTTCCAGTTTACAACGAAACATTAAAGGTTCACACCATAAATGGTGTTATTGAATTAAAACAAAGTATACGATTAGGAGCAAGCAAAATTTGTCCGAGCAAACAAAAATTCTATATTCACGACTTCTCAGAGCATTATGATGTTCTGATTGGGAGAGAATACCTTGAGGCATGTCAAGCAAAAATAGACTATGCACAAGGATCCGTAACCTTAGGAGAATTTAACTTTTGTTTTAGATATAATGACGAAGAGGTCGAAGAGGACATGACCGCACAAGAGTGCCTTGATCCACCCTCAACAGAGGACAGACCATTTAACTTCGCTATTAATAATGAATTAATAGAAAACAATGAGTTTAGGCTAGAGCACCTAAACTCAGAAGAAAAAGAAAAAATAAAAAAAGTTTTACATGAATTTCGTGATATCCAGTACCATGAAGGTGACAATTTGACTTTCACTAGTACAATTAAACACAAAATTCTAACGAAACATGAGGACCCAATTTACAAGCGTCCATACAAATATCCTCAAATATACGATGAGGAAGTAAATAAACAAATAAGCGATATGATAAAACAAAATATCATACGTAAATCCAAATCCCCTTACTGCTCACCAGTAATAATCGTTCCAAAGAAAAACGATGCATCTGGAAAGCAAAAATTCCGGTTAGTCATAGATTACCGCAATCTCAATGAACTAACTATTAATGATAAATACCCTATCCCGATCATGGATGAAATATTAGACAAACTTGGAAAATGTCAATATTTCACAACCATTGATCTAGCCAAAGGCTTCCACCAAATCCAAATGGATCCTGGTTCAATACCCAAGACCGCATTTTCGACTAAACATGGCCATTACGAGTACACTCGCATGCCATTTGGTCTTAAGAATGCACCTGCAACGTTCCAACGTTGTATGAACAATCTCTTAGAAGATTTAATTTTTAAAGATTGTCTGGTCTACTTAGACGACATTATTATTTTTTCCACTTCATTGGAGGAACACATTTTGTCGCTACAAAAGGTATTTAAGAAGCTTAGAGAAGCTAACTTAAAACTACAGTTGGATAAATGCGAGTTTATGAGAAAAGAAACTGAATTTCTCGGTCACATCATCACAACTGAGGGTATAAAACCAAATCCCAACAAGATACAAGCAATTGTCAAATTCCCAATTCCAAAAACCCCAAAAGAAATTAAATCATTTCTAGGATTATGTGGTTTCTATAGGAAATTTATACCAAATTTCGCTAATATAGTAAAACCATTAACACTTAAATTAAAAAAGGGAGCAAAAATCAATATAAAAGACAGAGACTACGAGCTAGCGTTTGAAAAGCTAAAAGTACTCATAACATCCGACCCAATTTTAATATACCCTAACTTCGAAAAACCATTTTCATTAACTACAGACGCGAGTAATATGGCAATAGGGGCCGTCCTTTCGCAAGAGCATAAGCCTATATGCTATGCAAGTAGAACTCTCAACGAGCATGAGTTAAATTATTCAACGATTGAAAAAGAATTATTAGCAATCGTTTGGGCCACTAAATACTTTAGGTCCTATCTCTTTGGTCGACAATTTCAAATCCTTAGTGATCACAGACCACTCGTCTGGTTAAATAATATGAAAGAACCTAACATGAAATTACAAAGGTGGAAGATCAAGCTAAATGAGTTTGATTTCCAAATTAAATACGTCCCAGGAAAAGAAAATTATGTGGCAGATGCTCTGTCCAGAATTCAATTAAACGAAAACTTCTTAGGCGAAGATACAATTAGCACAAGAGCAACAATACATAGTGCTCAAGAAGACAACAGTAACCATTTACAAATCACAGAAAGACCACTTAATTATTATAATCGACAAATAGAATTTGAAAAAGGAACCGAGAACGAAACAAAAGTTACGAATTACTTTCACAAAACCAACATAAAAATTACGTACAAAGACATGACTAATACGCAGAATTCAAAGAATTAATATTAAAAAAGCACAAAGAATTATTACATCCAGGAATTGAAAAAACTATCAATTGGTTCAAAGAAACCCACTATTTCCCAGATTATCAAAATCTAATTCAAAATCTAATAAATGAATGTGAGATTTGCAACATCGCAAAAACAGAACACAGAGATACAAAATTAACTTTCGAAATAACTCCGGAAATCGCTAATATCCGAGAAAAATATGTAATGGATTTTTACATAGTAGGAGATAAACAATTTTTATCTTGCATTGATATCTATTCAAAATTTGCATCATTAATAGAAATAAAAAGTAGAGACTGGCTAGAAACCAAACGAGCTATATTACAAGTGTTCAACCAAATGGGTAAACCCATCGAAATAAAGGCAGACAAAGACTCAGCTTTTATGTGCACAGCTTTACAATTATGGCTAAAATCAGAAGCAGTAAATATTAATATAACCACTAGTAAAAACGGTATATCCGACGTAGAACGATTTCATAAGACAGTTAACGAAAAACTAAGAATCATTAACAGCGACTCAGACGTCGAAAATAAACTTACAAAATTTGAAACTATACTCTACACGTACAATCATAAAACAAAGCACAAAACGACTAACAGAACACCAGCGGACATATTCATATATGCAGGTACACCAGAGTATGACACTCAAGCTAATAAAGAAAAACTAATAAATAACCTCAACAAAAACCGAAGAAACTTTTAACAATTTAATTGAACAAAGTAAAGAATTCAATAACCTTATACAAATCGAATACCTAGTAGAAAAATTAAACAGAGAAATAAACGGCTTAAAAATAGCCAAACGTAGCAAAAGAGGTTTAGTTAACATAGTAGGAACAGCATATAAATACTTATTTGGAACATTAAATCAAGAAGACAAAGCAGAAATTGAACAAAAAATAAGCAACTTAGCAGAAAACAGCGTTCAGGTTAACGAATTAAATTACATAATAGAAGCTATAAACAAAGGAATAGAAATCATGAACGAACTAGATCAAGAGAAACAAAAAGGAAAGAAATTAGATATCCTTATATTTAACTTACAACACTTTACAGAATATATAGAAGACATTGAGATGGGAATGCAGCTCACAAGATTAGGAATTTTTAACCCAAAATTACTAAAACATGACTATTTGTTGCATGTTAATTCTGAGAAATTGTTGAATACAAAAACTTCCACTTGGTTTAAATCAGATACAAACGAAATACTGATAATATCCCATATTCCTCGAGAAATAATAAAAAGCCCGGTATTCGAAATAATTCCATACCCGGATGAAAATAATAATATTTTGACAGAAATAGCTCATGAAAAATATTTTACCCAAGATAAAAAAGTTTATAGCAGAGAAACAAAAAAATTAATTAATAATGAATGTTTAACAGGAATTTTAAACCAAATAACATCAGAATGTAGTTATACTAAAATTTTGCAAAATTTTCAAATCAACTACATAGAACCAAATATAATTTTAACTTGGAATTTACCAAAAACTATATTAAACCATAATTGTATAAATAACGAAATAACAATAGAAGGAAACAATATAATAAAAATCTTTAATTGTTCATTGCAAATTAATGAAATTTCAATTTCAAACAATATGTTAGATTATACTCAAAGCATTTACGTAAGCAATGATGTTATAAAATTAGAACCACTTTCGTTTGTACAAACGAAACAAATTATAAATGCACATACAAAATTTAACAATGTATTCCAGATAATTACAATAACCATATTTGTAATCATATTAATAAGTTTAACACTGTATTTGACATATAAGTTCAAAAGCATACCTAAGAAATTAATTATAAAATATAAAAAACCCAAAGTAGAAGAAACACCTACAATAATAGGAGATATACCAATTGTAAAAGAAGAAAATGTTACACTATATCCAAACTTAAACACCTGAGGACAGGCACTTTTCTAATGGTTGGGGGAGTGACATATCCATAGTCGCACCCACCCTTTAACATATCTTAGCACATAAGCATAAGCACAATTATAAACATTTCTAATATTGTAAACAAAGAGCCTGGTGATAACATCGACATTGGTCAAGATCAAACTGTCCCCCTTTGGTAGACATAAACAATTCACCCTAAATATCACGCCACTGTCAATGTTCCCATCAGAGTACTATCCCACGCATAATTGCTGACGCAGCTCAAACTTCACTCAATTTTGACTCAAACTCTCTCAAAGCGAAGTTTGCTAAGCGACCGCAACAGTTAGATAAATCAGTTCTTATTCGGGAAGCAAATCTGAATGTACTCAACAAAAGTAGCCGTTAAGTGAAAATAATAAATTGAAATATATTTTTTTATAGTAACCTAACGTGTAAAACTTAATTATATATATCTTATATATTGTCGATTGTATTATTCCCCAAAATAATATTCTTACGCCCACATAAATGAACATATATTTTGTAAAAATATTTGTAGGCTAAATTTGTATTTCTCAAAACTGGCAACATATATATCACATTTATACGATAGGGCAAATTGACAAATCCCCACTTACAACAACAACAATATATATATATACATATATATAAATATATTTACTTATGTAACGACACACTCACACACATACACACACACACACACACACAAATATATAACTAGGCATTATCATTAATATGAGAATTTTGGATAACAAACTAAGACGTCAACCTAACGATAAAAGATAACAAAACATGCTCTTAAGCCTGCTTTAAACTTAAACGTTAAACTAATTCTAGCTTGTTTTTTGTATATTGAAAGATAGAGAGTGCGAGAGAGTGAAAGTGTTTGTTGCAATATTTTGTAAATGGTCGAATAGTTAAAACTTATATATAGTGCGACGTTGTAGTTAGCTAGCCAATTGCAAACAAAAACAAAAACTAAACAAATTTAGCACAAAATGCTAATGCTGCAAAAACAACAGCAACAACAACAACAACAACAACATACATTAATAACAACAAAACATTATGGAGGAATAGCTTTAGACTTTAAGTGTAAAACAGCTGAAGGAGCAGACAATCGGTTCGGCGTTGAGCCCCCCATTTAAAAATTAGATGCAAAAGAAATTTTAGAGAAACTCTCAATACCCAAAAGATTTATATGTATAACCATTTTGTTTCACAATTCATTTTTTAAATATTTCAATTCTCGGTGTGGCTTTTGTGCGTAGTTTATTTTTTTTTTTTTTTATATATATTTGTTACTCTTTATATTTGGTTTGTAAATGTTAAAATAGTTTTTTATTTGGCGCTTAGCGAAATGAAGAAGATTTAAGAGTTATTTGTACTACAGTCTGTTAATCTGTGCATTGGTTTCTTTGTTAAGTTGTGGTTTAAGCTGACAAGTTCAAAAACTATGGAAAACATGAGAAAAAAGCTTATTAATTTATATTAAAGAAATATGAAAACAACAATGTGTTTTTTATTAATTGTTATGCATCATCAGCTCGTCTCAACTTTTGGCTTGATGCCAAAAATGTTACTAAGTTTTTGAGAAATTTGGCTTGCAGACTTGAAGCTCGTATCTTGGCTTGAACCTTGACAATTTTGGCTTTGCTTGACATGAAAACGTCTTCTCCCACTTCGTGGCAAATGATTTCTTAAATTATCCGGGTTTACAAAAACCTCCCTACCAAAAACTAAACTCATTTAGGTCACGGCTCTTCTTATTTTATTTATTTTTTTCAAATTTATGCACTTCACTTCATAAATTCCAAACGAAAACTTAGCTACTTTTCCTGTATAATGTCATATTGTCTGTCTTTGAATCATAAATGTTTTGAAATGACAATTTATCATTAAAATCAACATTTTTTTAAAAGATCTTTCATTCTTTGCTTTGGGTAAATGAGATATACCGACATAACTCCGCCGACATATCTCCGCGCGGAGAGTAGAGAGAGAGAGAGTTTGTAGAACGAAATCATGTCGTCGGTCCGGAAATAGTCTTAAGGAAGCCCACAGATCCTTTTATCAATTGGATTGATACCGGATCTTCAGTATAATATAATTGTTTACTTCTTGTTTTCCAGTGCATAATTTTAGGCACTTTTGGTAATTAGTTCAAAAGAAGGAATTGATTGATCAAGCTACATTTGAGAGGGCTTAGCTCATTTAAGGCAAGCAACAAAAAACTTGTATTTCGTAGAAAACGTTAAAACGCAATTGAAAAAAAATGTTTCTTAGTTTACAGCCTCTTAGAATGTATATAAATTATAGGCAGAAAGCGTTTAAGTGTTAACTATAGTTGAACCCAAACGTCAAGTTCTCAAAGTGCCAAGTCTTAAGGGCTATTGCACAATTCTGAATATGATTTTCCCCTCCAGCTACTTCGTGGCGGTATCAAGTGCACTTGGGGCTAACCTGCGGGTAAAGTTGACTTGCAGTCAATAGACAAAAACACACAAATCGTTTAACACGCTAATATCGAGTCAATAAATATCGGAAATGGGCTGACGTTTTCACAGCTCTTGTCCCTGCCGGTGCCTGCATGGGAATTCCCTTAGACCCGCTCCCCACCCACTCCCACACTGACCTAATGGCAAATGGCAACAACAAGTTAGTACATTGCACCAAAGTGCAGTCGGGACTGAAAGCCAACTAATGAACAACGAAGGTTGTTTGCCGCGCTTGGCTGGCCAAAAGTAAAGGAGTTGCAATTAAGTAAAAGTTAATAACAATAATTTGTTGGCATAACATAAAAATTAGCGATTACTTCATAAACTAATTATTGGCAAACATAAGTGCAATTTATGTTGGCAGCTGGCCGCGTGCCTGGCAAATATTTGCCACCCACTTGACCTTGACGAAGTCGGCCACTGTGTTTGCCCAGTTAACACTCAGTCAATTCAGTTGCGGGGGAGCGCGCGGCTGGCTAGATGGATAGCTACTAATAATGTTGGCAGCATTGTGCATTCGCTGAGTGTCACTCGAAGTCAATTAGATAATCGCTGGCTGACCTGCTGGTCAACTTCGTTGCAAGTTCGTTGGTCTGTTCAAGCACTTGGCAAATGTTACGTCGTGCGCCACCTGTTGCTGTTTACTTGAACTTCAATCTGTTCGAGAACAGGAGCGCACACTAGGGCCAAAGCAATTAGTGTATTTGCTTTGTGCTTGCTTTAAGTGGGGAGGGGTTTGGCATGTTGCGGGGGTTAACTAGCTGCTGCTTCACGGAAAGTTTTTTTTGCGTTGCACTCTGTGCACTCTGTTGTTGTTGCTGTATCGTAAGTTTCCACTGTCAGAAGCTTTTTTTTGTAAGTTTTGCGGCCCAAGTTCTGCGCCTGCTCGCCAGTTGTGCAGCTTTGGCAGCGCTGCCAGCGCCAGCGTCGCAGTCACAGTTGCTGCGCAGTTGCGTCGTCGTCGCATTGCGCGTTTAACAGCCGCACCGCTCAATTTTCGCTCAGTTTCATTCAGAAGTTAAGCTTAAGCGTGTCTCGGCCGCTCGGTCAATAGACTCGCTCTGCTCATTAGCCAATTGCGAAAGAATTTGGATTTTTACAAAGTTCTTGTGAAATATTTACGTATGTTTCGGCACATTCGGCCATACATATGAGCATATAGTTATTTCAGTCTTGTCCGTGCGTTATTTGTGTTGTGGTTTTTGCGGTTTTTCAGTTCCAGTTTCAATTGATTGCAAGCAGGAGCAGCGCCCCCAGCACCAGCAACAGCAGCAACAGCAGCACCAGCAGCGTCAGCAGCAACAACAACAAACGCCAGTAGCCAACACAAATTGTTGGTAAGTTTCTTCACATACGCTTTGTGCTATTACTTCTTTTGCAACTGTTATTGTTGATTTGTTGAACAGGCTGGCAACACTGTGCCGAATAACGCATTGCCCAATATGTTAAAGCAATCACATACAGTATGTCAATAAAGTGTTTTGACTAACGAAAAAAAACTAATTTTTTGGGTTTAGTTGAAAATAAATGTACCTAAAAGTGAGAATTTTTTTTCAATTCTAATTTATTTCGATTCTATATTTTTCCTAGAACTTAATGGCAAAAAGAATTGTTAAATAACATTACCCAAACATTTTATAAAATTAAAAAACTAAAAACATTCAAATTTTATGCTGTCAATAAAGTGTTTTTACACGAAACTTTATTACTAAATAACAATGTTAAAAAAACAGGAATATTTTTTTTTAATACTTTGTGTGGCTGCCATTAGCGTCACATACAGCCTGCAATCGCCGTTTCATTGAAACAATAAGGTTTTGTATGTATGTTTCTGGAATCTTCTGCCATTCTTCCAGTACAGCAGCTTTTAAATCAGTTTTTGATTTTGGACTCCGCTTTGCGACTTTTTTTTTCAAATATGACCACACATTTTCTATTGGATTCATATCTGGACTTTGTGGTGGAGTGTCTAACACCTTTCCACAGTTGTACAACAGCCAAACTCTTACCATATGAGCTTTATGCTTCGGGTCATTGTCCTGGTAAAATTTAAAAATTGGCTTATTGTCCTCATAGAATCCAAATTTCTGTGCACTACTGACGAGATGTGTCTGTAAAATGCTCAGATATTGTCTAGCATCCATGGTATTCTCAATGAAGGTCAAATCTCCTACACCCTTGCTCGAAATACACCCCCACACCATCACTGATAGTTTTCCGAATTTAACGGTTGGAATAATATTGCGGTTTTCCAACGCTGTTAGTGGCTTTCTCCAGACTCTGGATGGCCCATCGTTGTAGAATAGCATCATCTTGCTTTCGTCACAGAATATGACGTTACTCCAAAAATCGTTCGAACTATTTACATGGACTTGAGCGAACGATAGCCGCTTCAAAATATTCGCCGCCGATAGTAGAGGTTTTTTCCTGGCAACTCGTGATGTGTAGTCATTGGAATTCAGTAATTTTCGGACAGTTTCATGTGACACATCAACACCACTTTCTTCCTTGAACTCCTGAGCAATATCCCTAAGCGAAATTTGTGGATTTTTCTCAATTTTTCTCAGAATTTTTCGCTTATCTCTGTCAGAAATTTTGCAGGGTCGACCACATACTGGCTTTGCCTCTAGCCTATCTTCCTTATTGGCTCTGTTTAATATGTTGTATATCGTTGCTTTTGATAAATTAAACATATCAGCCAGTTCCGAGACTTGACGTCCCATCTGATGGTTATAATACACCAGCTGAGCGACTTCAAAAGTTGTTCTTTTTCCTGGCATTTTATTTTTCATAAAATTAAAGCAAAACGTTATAAATTGCAATAGAAAATGACAAGAAAAGTCGAAGACACAAGAGAAGCCAAAACGCATGGGCCCAAATCTAACGGGATCACCCAAAAGAGAACGGCAAAACAATTTACCGTAGCTGTAAAAACACTTTATTGACAGCATAAAATGTGAATGTTTTTAGTTTTTTAATTTTATAAAATGTTTGGGTAATGTTATTTAACAATTCTTTTTGCCATTAAGTTCTAGGAGAAATATAGAATCGAAATAAATTATAATTGAAAAAAAATTCTCACTTTTAGGTACATTTATTTTCAACTAAACCCAAAAAATTAGTTTTTTTTTGTTAGTAAAAACACTTTATTGACATACTGTACATACTTCTACTAGAAAAAAAAAAATATTAAAAATAATCAAAATGCGGTTTGAATGATTTCACACTTTTGGGCCAGCACATAATAATTAATTACATTGGATTCAGGTTTTTGTTTGTATGCAGATTCTTATTATTTATCACCTGTTTTGGCCAGCAACCTGCCGCCAAGTGCTTTAGCCCAAAACTGTTAGCTCAAGCGCATATGAATAATGTTAAAAGAATGCAATATTCAGCATAATTTCTGTCATATTTAGCATAGATGGCATTTTTGGGTTTTCTTATGAACTGAATTTGCATTGCATTTCTCTTGTCTCCCGCCGTCAGCTGATTTCTGTTTACATTTACCAACTGACCAGGGCTGCAATTTGTGCAAGCTCAAGTCAGGGTTTTTGTTTGCATACTTATTTATTCTTTATCTTTCCCCTGATTTTCTTCTCTTAAAAGGAATCATTATATTACTTAACGGAAAGATTGCAAGAAAGCAGACTCAATGCTGCTCTTAGTTTTTGCATGCTTTGTCTGCGATGCTGTTAACTTATTACAGTTAGCTTATTTTAGTATAGAAAATACCCTGCATTATGATCGTTGGAAGATCTGTTTTATTGTCGATGCCAATTCGATAACGTTTTCGATCCAGAATTCAATTTATATGAAGTCTTGAGAAGTTTTTCTGAATGGAATAAAGGACATATAAAAGGCTTTTACGATTTTAAGATATTTGCACTTTGAAAAACTATTTTCGCCGAAGTATGTATGCTATCAAGCAATAACAACATCAACATTTACGACTTTCAGCAACAAATGTATTTAGTTGACGGCATTTACGGGTTAAACGATATTAAGAGCTCTTGTAATTATTAACAGAGTCGCGATAACAGATTGCTTACATTGCTGCAACGAGCTGCAAGAGCAGAAGAGACAAAGCGGCAACAAATTAAGCTGGGCTCCATGCACAACCTTGGACTTGACTCTTGCCACTGATGGGCAACTGATTACCTGGTCGGCTTACCTGCCTGCCAGCGCGTTGTCACATTATGTCTTTTGTTGTTGAGCGGCCTGTGGCCCTGTTGTTGTCGCGTTTTGAACAACTCTTGGAACAACTTTCAAGCTTTTATGATGATGGAAATGGGAGAACATGGCGGAATATTTTATGGCTGGAACAGCCCTTTTTGCTATATCGATCTGATATATTTTTATTTTGATGTTCGCTTCCGCATTGCTAATTTAAGCACAGAATTGATTAAACTCCTTAATTGCTAGTTAAGGAATGCACTGCATGCCGACACGACTAGTTCCTGGTTTGGGTTTTCCCCCTCAGATAGTTCGCATGCGGCCTTTGTCTGGGCACTCGTGCGCGGACTCGTACTCGGACGTGTATTGCGCAGATTTCTTCTGGCTAAAATTGCAAATTACAAATTATTGACTCTTAATGGCAATTGAATGACGCGGATTTTCGCTTTCAAACGGTTACAAATGCAAACATTTACGCTATTCCGCGTGCTTTTTCCCTTCTCGGAATGCCACGCACGTAGACCACATTTCATGCGAATTTACAGGCTTACCCTCTTCCAGTCTACGCTGCCTGCCGACAGCAGATCGTCACTGGAAGATCTGAAGCTTGCGCGAAAGAACAATTACATTCGAGGAGCGGCATACTGAATACCCTCACAAACATAGAATAGCTAGAAATAAAATTAAATCATGGTGTATCAGCTGCTTATATTGATCAAGAAGATATGGCATATCCACTATGCGATCGAAGATACACTTAAAAGAAAGTGTATCGTATTTCGAGACACAATTGTGCTACCTTTTGCTAGGGTATAAGCAGAACAGTCAGCGGTCAATGCGCTGGAGGTCTCCATCCCAACGAAAATTCCCCAAACATTTAAATGTTTAGCACTCGGCGTCGAGGGCTTCACCTGCACATGGCTCCGCTCACTCTCTATAAATAATTCAAACGCACGTTTGTCTAGAACAGGATCCGCCCTGCCAGTGCCCGTTGATCGACAGGGGGGGGCTGTGCGGCTGCCCTGGTGCCTGGCATGCTAATTTGTAAACATAACAACGAACTGACATTGACAGCCAACTGTGATTTTGGGCATTCATAAGCGATCAAAAAAGATACTGCAGAGACAGAGCGCGCCAAAGAGAATGCTTGAGCTAATGTGCCAAAATATATATTTTTTCTCAGAGATTGGCAACATCAAACCGATCAAACTAGTTGATATCACCAAAGCTACACCGATTGATGCGTCTCAGTATTGATGCGAATTCTTATTTTCTAGGGAATAAAAATTCCTAAAGAGTCAAAAGAATCTATACATGCATCTACATACATATGTATGTATACAGCTCCATTAACAGCTTCTAGTCTGCCTTTAAAAAAAGAGTTAAAACATGTTAAATTTAACAGAAACTGTAATCAAGCAATGACTGTCAAACTGTAAGATGTGTTAATATATTTCGAATTTTCTAGGCAATAAAAATTCCTAAAATGTCAAAAGAATCCTATACACGCATCTACATATACAGCTCCATTAACAGCTCCAAGTCTGCCTTAAAAAAGTGTTCAGCAAATGTTAAATTTAACAGAAACTATAATCAAGCAATGACTGTCCAACTGTAAGAGGTGTTAATATATTTCGAATTTTCTAGGCAATAAAAATTCCTTAAAAGTCAAAAGAATCCTATACACGCATCTACATATACAGCTCCATTAACAGCTCCAAGTCTGCCTTAAAAAAAAAGTTCAGCAAATGTTAAATTTAACAGAAACTGTAATCAAGCAATTACTGTCAAACTGTAAAATGTGCGTAGCTAATAAATTTGTGGCTTTACGTTGCGTACTTCATAAAACAGTTAATGCGCACACGAAGTTTGTTTAATGTACGCTTTGTGAAATTATTTGAAAAAAACTCCTGGTCAACAGACTTTGACTGCGGAGTACATACATGCACACATACATGCATACATATATATACGTACGTGGAGAACGTTCCTGTCATGATGATATAGTAAATCTTGCAATCATTGTACGATTTGTAAATATGTGCAAATTTCATTTGTTGCTGTTGCGACTGTGACTGTGGCTGTTCCTGTTTTTTTGTGTTATATTTTGTTTTGTGCTGCTGTTATGACTAATGAAAACAATTAACAGCATTTTATCTGCCTC